TTCAGAAAAATCCTGTTAAAAAGAGTTTGGGATGTATTTTCAGTTCTCTATCCTAAGGGGAAATAAAGTCAAATACTGTGCTTGCTTCTTTTCCCTCTTCCTTTAAAATTCTGGTGGGTTTATTTGTTCCATTTTCCCTCAGTTTTAGTTTGTTATGGTTGTTTTTCAAGACAAAGCCTTGCTCTGTTTACCTGGGCTAGAGTGCAGTGGCATCATCATAGCTCACTGCAACTTCATTCTCCTGAGCTCAAGTGATCCTCCTGCCTCAGCCTCCCAAGTAGCTGCTACTGTAGGCACATGCTACCACGCCTGGCTAATTTTTCTAGTTTTTTTGTAGAGACGGGATCTTGCTTTGCTCAGGCTGGTCTTGAGCTTCTGGCCTCAAGCAATCCTCCTGCCTCAGCCTCCCAAAGCGTTAGTATTACAGGCGTGAGCCACTGCACCCAGCTGACATTATTTTCTTATATGATTTGAAGAATGGATCTAACTTATCTTTTTCTAAGTGCTGAAGCCTTTATTAATCCTTAATCTTGTTCTTAGACTTTAAAAACTTTTTCTGTGAAGTGAGAAGAATATATACATGTACAAAATGATTAATATGTACCACATGCATAGACCAGATGATAGAGTTTAAAAATAGAGTTGCCAGTGTAGGTAACATTTTTTTCCATTGATGTAGATGAGGCTGGGTATACATGAAATTCTAACTTCACAGAAGTCAGTGTGAATCCTTAGTGTGGTGAGGGGCATGGAGACCTGCTTCTATTTATTTTAGGACAGCTCCTCACAGTGGTTGCGAATGAGAGGAGGATCTTTGCAAAGATACTGCTAAAATACATTTTCATAACTTGTGTTTGTAGTTTAAGCATAGCTTTAAGACATTAATCAGTTTTTGATACTTTTGTTTTAAAACTGGTAATAACCAATAATTGTGACTAGACATAGTCTTAAGCACAGTTTATCCTCTCTCTTGGGCCTTTTGCCTCACTGATGGGTAGTACCTTCTGAAGGACTGGCGAAATACATAGCCCTTTGCCCTCCTCCATGGCCATAGTTTTTCACAATTATTTGATATTTTTTCTTTCAGTTTCCTTTTAGTATTTTTTTTAAAATCCAGGTGTATCTAATCCCTTTTCCATTTTCAAGGTACAAAACTGAAATGTAAGTAGTTTCCCAAATATATTACTGACTACTCATGTCTTATGAGTAGGGTAGAAAGCTTCTAGGAAATTGAAAGGAGAGGTATAATCTTTTCCTGCCTAAATTCCTCTCCTTTTTCTTTTAGATAGTTTGCTATCTAAGTTGTTTGGAATGACATGAGCTGCAGAAACACACTTTCCTTTCTATTTTAGCAAATACATTGATTTTCATTTTAGTAAGATTTTTTTAAAGTTGTGTATTTCCACTTTCCCATTCGATCAGCTCTCAGTACTTAGAAATTACTACTGTTTACATATGAGTTTGGCTAAAGGACTGATCAGCATAAATTTATTGAATACCTATAATGGCACAGCCTTGCTTGTGATATGGTATAAGACTTGCAAATGGTACACAACTGTCATTAACTGAGTGCACAGCTTTACTTACTTCATTTAATAATTTGTTTAGTAACAAATCTTCCTTTTGTTTATCTATTTGGTGAGTTAACGTATGTTTACTTCCATTGGTGCTGACTCTAAAGGAGTTACTATGGTATAAAGGCAAGAACAAATAGAATGAATTAAATCTTTACAAATTGAATTTGGGCAAGATTCTTAACTTGTCTGGGTCTCAATTCCATTATTTGTAAAGTAA